AGCTAGAGCCCTGCACTCCTGGCTCCAAGGCAGACTTTTTTTTGCAGGGGGTGGTGGGGGTGGGTAGCCCCTCCTATATGTACAGCATTTACCATACTCTGCATGTATGCTGGTGTACTCCAGGATGGGCTCCCTCACCTACTTAGAACATACACACACACACACACACACACACACACACACACACACACGCTACTCCTGGTGTCTGTCGCAGGGTTGCAGTGCTGTGGTGTTTCTCCCAGTTGCCATTATTCACGAGTCCTTCTCAGGGACCGCCTTGTGCCGAGTCCCGTATTGGATTCCTGCCTTGTGTAGACGATGGAGGCTACGTCACAGTGCAGACAAAGTGGTAGTTTCACCCGTGATAGCATCCTTTCTGTTTCTGTGTATCAAGAAAACACAGAACAGCAGATATATGTAGTATGTATGTACTCTGTGGAGAATAATTTGGTAGTACTTAGTAAAATACGGGATACATTTGATGCAGCAGATCCACTGTTAGGAAGTGTTCCAAGAGAAATACCCACACATATGCTAAATGCCTTTCCTGCAAAATCCATTGAGGATTTATTTTTAATAGCATGAAGTTTTGGGGAGACTAAATCTAAATGCTTAGTGGAGCCCTGTCTAAGCATCAGCTAGCAAAAATGAGTTAATGTGTCCTGCACTGACAAGGAAAGCTATCCAGGATAGGTTGTTGAATAACCAAATGTAAGTGATAAGATCCCATTTGGTAAAAAATAATCTTAACACTTCCGTCCTCTCAACTTTGTGTAAGGCTTGAGAGGCAAGGATCCAAGTGCATCCTAGTAGTTTCCAAGTTTCCTCTGGACAGTGGACCTGAAAGTTTGGGGGAAAGGAGCCAGCAGTTGACTGAGGGAGCACACTTTATATATTCCTCTATTGTTTGAATATTGCCCAGTAATCATTACTGGTTTTCAAAAGCTGCTGTGCATTGGATTCTTGAAATCATTAGTGTTATATTACTCACACTGGAATGTCTATGTCATTGACAAAGAGTACAGACATTGGAAATCTAACCTGTTAGTGCTACACTCTCTAACCAGCACCTTCGCAGCCACTTCTTGGGGCACGGAGGTGGGGGGGGTGTTTGTGGACAGTGGTCAGGCAAACATTTGGAGTACTTGCTGTTGCCAGACACAGTGTGAATGCATTCCGTGGGTTATCTCATTTCATTTAACCTTCACAAGTCCCATGAAGTCCTTTAGAGGACTGCTGTTACATGATTGTATCTACATTTGAGGAAAGGACATATTCTCTAAGCAATTTGCTCAAAGTCTCACAGCTGCTACATGG